AATGAAATGAAAATTTCTTTTTGCTCAGGTGTAGATTTTTAACCGGAGAATCCGTTTATGATAGAAAAATCCAAAACTTAGTTGAAGTGACAGAATTATGTGCTCCAGACGATCTCAGATCGTCTGGTCACCGACATTATGTGCCAGCGGCAGCTATCCATGGATATTTCCGCCACACACGCAACGCCGCTCGGATTGCCCTCGCAATCTTAAAAAAATATCTGACTCTCGTAGGAATACGTCTTCTTAACATGGCCGATAGCTTGGGTTTCATTCTGTGTTGTTGTAATGTTTATTGAACCATTGAGTCTGATTAAGTGAGTGCGAGCCCGACTTTGCGGAACATTCTTAGATCAAGTTATATTGGATGGTTGGAAATTGTCGGGTTGCATTCACCTGAACAGAATGAATTTCGACAAAATTATCAGCAAAAGTGGACCAAAGGTTGCCGAGAACTATTGCCAGGTTTGTGACTGTTGACGGTATCGAAGAATGCCAATGGCAAGGAAATGGTAAAAAACACGTAATTGCAACAAATGCAATTTCCTTATGAAATCTGGAAGTGTCAGAAAGCAAGCGGCACGCGAGTAGTTGGCAACCTGTGGCCGATGGTTCATGTAGGCCATGCTTAGATAGCGCCACCTTCTGGAACTCTGCACTCCAGAAAAATGGGAAAAAAAGCAGATAGCGAAGCATGAACGATCATTCTAAGTTTTTGAGAGCTCAGCAGCAGCTCAATCCCAGCGTTGCCTGGTACTCACACACAGGATTTGTAGGATATTCGATGTTCAAACCTCCTGAAATGAGAGTTAAAGGAAAAGAAATTAAAAGAGCATAAATAACGAAAAAGATTAGGGGATACGAATGTTGGAGCTACAAGTTCCCCGCGCGCTGCAGCGTACTAAAGCTGGAAAGGTTCCAAAAACGCAAGCGCGCCATGGTGTGATTACACGAGTCGGGGCAGTCGTCGACGAATATACTTTACGTGCATACGGGCCTAAGTGCTTCGTCACCATTTGTAATCAGGGCCCGGCACGAGTCGATTTCTAGGGTTACTGAAAACGAAGCCTCCCCTGACTTTCCGAAGTTTTACAAGTCCCCTTTGACCTACCTGCTTAAGGGAAGATGAAGACAAGGAAGATTTAGTGGGTTGAAAGAAAATACGTAAAATAGAAGTGAAAATCTAAACTAGAGCTACATACTACACATGCCATTGGAGCGCGATATTTGACAAAGCGATTTATGAAGAAATGAAGGCAAAGAACGAAGGGAAGGCAATAAAATGAAAATGTCTTTATGCTGAGGTATGAATTTTTGACCGTGGAATCCGTCAATGATAGAAAAATCCAAAACTTATTTGAGTGACAGAATTATATGCTCGACAATCTCAGATCGTCTGGTGACCGTCTAGAGACGGACTAAATTTGGAAAAGATAGTACTTCACATAAGTTTTCAAATCTTTTTGTACAATTCTTTTGCAAATAATTTTTTTTGCATACAGTTCAATTTTGGCGTCGTATGCTGCTATGTGCGCTGCAAACAAGCAATTTGTTTATTTTAGCCTTGCTTTCAAATCGCGCGCACTTTTCGCCATACAACGGTAGAGCATGCCAATCGTGTGATGATCTGCCCAAAAAGCTTGTGTTCGACTGAATGGCGCTTCCTCTTGGTGCTCGGCCCCGGCTCGTTGAAAACGATATCTCCTTTGCTTTTTGCTCCCAAAAAGGAAGTCCAGATGCTTCCTATGATCTGTGTCGGGCCTTGTTTGTACTATTGCCAAGCATTTTCAGAAAGATTCTCTTATTATTGATTTTTGAAAAATCCTTCAGAGGAGAAGCATAGCTGGACAGAACGGTGCGAAATCGCTTTCAGGTCTAGACGCCAAAGTAATGGACAAAGACGAGAATGTGTGAAAGCTCTAATGGTTAAATTTCTTGAACGGCTGAACTCAGCTTCTTGACTCCTTGTACTCCACAGAAGTCATTCATAGGTTTCCGAAACATTATGTGCAGTTTGCCCGTGGCTCTTTGAGGGTAAATTTCATTCTTGCTTTTTTCATCAGATTTTTCAATTTACACTCATTTTTACCCTTTAGCATCAATCACTTACCATCGAAAGCAAGAGAAAATAATTATTGTTCCTGTTGATGGATTTGATTCGAAAATACACGACTTCACTTTGAAAAGAGAAAACGGTAAAATTCTATTAGCAAGAAGCTTGTGTGGTTTGCACACGTCCAACGACAGATTAGACGAAACCTGCAGGAATTTCTATAAAATTAGTTTCTTCTATTTAGGTCTATATATAGAAAAGTTCGGCATACTGTGGATGTTTCTTTGAGCAGGGATCCCGTTCTGAGTCAACCACTACTGCCACTTCATTTACTAAAGAAGACTGAGGCAGACGCAGATTAGACAAAATGAATGTTTATGAATTAATGAATTCAAGTCATTCGTACCGTTACCAGCAGTCTGGTCACTGAACGTTTGAGAGGTGACTTTTTAAACTGGGAGGGGAGGGGTGGGGGGGGGGGGGGAGAGTGAGGGGAAATGGGAGGGGAAGAGGGAGGTATTAGGACGCGATCCAGGGCAGCGATGTTTGTATTCGACCGTTCTGTGCCACACCCCTTGCTCGACCCTTATAGAATTAGCATGCGAAAATTCTTGGAGCGTGAGAGAAAGGTGTGGAAGTAAGAATATAATAATTTGTCATTACTACGATAATCAGTAACTGTAGAGGAGACAGGACGGCCTGGGTCATGAGTCAAGCAAATCTTTGGTACTCATTTTGTAGAGCTTGCTTCGCTTTAACGATTATATTTCAAGTCTGCCAGGAAAACAAAAACAGCTTGATTCATTTAAAAAAAGAAGTTTACTTTTGGGACACCTAATGGAATCATCACCGACAAACCCCTTGTCAATCTAATTAATCAATTGTTTCTTAGTAACTGTAGACGATATAAGACGGCCTGCAAAGGTGAACTTAGAATTGGTTTTCCTATCACGTAAAATAACCTATCCTTCTCCAAATCGTTGATACAGGCTGACAGAGGAAATGGTGAGAAAATGATGTGGCACTCATAAAGGACCCTTTGTGGTGGCACAGAGCAGAAGCGACATTGATGATAAGTGGAAAAAGCAACCCAATGACTTAGGTATAAGTTGTGTAACAGCACATTTTAAACATCAAAATTATACTACCTTTCACTACAAAATTTTTCGAAATAGAGCTCTCATGCGCGTCCGATTCTTACTTCGAACTTTTTTGATCACATTCCATAATGCCTACAGTAACAATAGGGAGTGAAACAAACGAAGCTAGGAATATCATAAATGAAAGTCCACTAACAAAATTTTTTTAAAAAAGTCATAGAAGTTGTGCCCAAAAATGTTGCGACAACTCGTACGACAGCACACTAGTCTCAATATTTTTCACCTATCGTAGACACAACCATACTTGCAGTATGGAATAAGTATTTTCAGTCGCTGAGAAGTGAACAAAATGGAAAGGCCAAGTCATTTCGACTTTCAGTTCGAGAAGACGTTGACGCCGGAACGTGAACCTCAGCCAATAACGATCTTAGCTGAAATTTATATCAACAAGTGCTTCACGCCAAAATTCAAAACGATCAAACAATCCACATTTTGAGCCATGTACAAGAGATGAAGCGAAATCGACAAAGATACTCGGAGCAGCACAGAACAGAAAAATGCGCAGTGATTTTTGCGAGGGATAGCTCGGGCTCAAGAATAGTTAGTAGGGTACTAGCTTGCTTACATAGCATCAGCATGTCGAATATGTTCTCTGGACCGAACTCGAGCCCAATTCATGATTTTGACTTCCTACCGTACACCTATCGTAACCACACGAAAAGATGTTCTGCAAAGTGTGAATCTGCAATCAGCATGTAAGATAACCCTTACACGCGAAGTCTGAGCAACCTCTACGATAAAAAAAATTCGGGGCGCGAATAGCCGAATAGCGGCAAACTAATATTGTACTCGTAATCAGCATGCTCGATTAACCCCTGTACCATCCCAGCCCCGTAGCTAAAACTTTGCGAAAAAATCGATAGAATCAAAAGTAATGGTAATTCTAAAAACTAACATTGTATTCGCAATCAGCATGCTCGATTACCCCCTGTGCCAGATCCCAGCCCCGTAGGTGAACTTCTACAAAAAGTCGATAAAAATCGATAAAATCAATATCGATCTCCAAGCCACCTAACTCCAAAAAACGTTTGTCATGTTTTGTCGCTTGTTCACACACCTTTTACATGCTTTTTGAGGCTTGATTGCGACTGACTACGCATCTAGACATTGATTTTAGTGTTATATTTCTTCATTTTCGCTAAGCCTTTTGCTTCGCGGCATGAATTTGCATTTTTGCGTTCGCAAGGAAAGCGGCACCTTGTGATGAGCACTTGCGACATCTTCAGAAGATGAGGAGATGGAACGACAGGGTTAGGGGTTGCGAAGGATGACCACTGTAAGTATATATGTATGTGTAAATAGCGTGACAAAAGGCGATGCGATAAGTATCTCGTACGTTTTTTCTGTTCGTAAAATCTTTGCATTGTGATGTATCACTAATAGCTTTCTTTGCCAGAAGGCTAAGAAAAGCCGTGACTAAGGCCTTTGAGGAAGGCATTGGTGTCGAAACGTTAAGTTGAATAAATCATTTCAAACCTCCGGCAAAGAAAGCTGCTAGTTATACATCACATCACGATGAGATAAGTTTTGTGTACATGGAGAGGACTGTACAAGTTTGTTGCGTCGATGGGCGTGAAGTTGGCCTGTGCCTCGAAGTCTCTTTGCTCACTTAATTTTATACGAAATTTACTCTAGCACAGAGCGATTGACGATTTATTTACACCATACTCTTTTTTCTGGGCTCCGCACAGGTCCATGCGCAATGATAACCTCATAGCTTTCACACTCAAAACGATATCCAGCCTGCCCCGAAAGCCACCTATGCCGAGCCCTGCACTGTGTGCCCATTTTCTGATCACTCTTTATTTTGAGGTCTGTGCATACAAACGGTGATAGCTCTAGCTGGTAAAGCTCCACTCTGGCGTCATCATACTATCCCATTTTGACTGGAATTTGCCACCACAAGTGGCAAGACAAGAAAAGTACTGTCTTGGAGTTTTGTCACCATCGCATTTGTCGAAGCACATCTAAAAAATCGTTATCAAAATTCAGACCTAAAATATCACTACTAGACTATTTTCAACAAGCTGCTCATTGAAATACCTTTTCTAAACAGCATTGAATTGGAATAAGTGGATAGCACAAGGGCACCAGAATAGCAAAGAAGTATACGTTGATGAACCTCATGTCGGATTCTGGAAAAAATTTTGATTGGCCAATAAAGGCACAGATTGACGATGCAAGCAGAAAACAAACTCCAGTTATAGAGGACATTGGAGGGATGGAAGAGACAGAAGAGGGTACGGTGAAGTTAAGGAGCTATGTAACGTGGGCACATTTTGCCCAATGAAGTTTCCATGCCAGCGATCATTCTAAAGAAATTTGTGCTTTGTAAATGTATTAGAAAGGTACATTAAAGCGGAAGCGAAGCCGCCACGGAGGGAAAAGAATGAAGTTGTTTGACATATGCACACTTATATTTGTTTTTGACGCTTTCATTTTTAAAAAAATCATCGAAAAAAGCAGAGGTATCGTTAAGCGGGCTAGCATTCTAATCAGGTGAAATAAAAATGCTGCAAAAGTTACATAGCGAGAACAAATCGCATTTTAAACGGCCGTTATGCCTTTTTTAAGACAATCTAAAACCACACACAAAATTTTTTGAAAACTTTTGACAGTATTTACTTAATGCATATCTTTACTTCTAGATCTAGCTCACGATTTCCAAGCTAATATGTGAATTTGAATTAGCAAATCTGAACGGTGTAGGATCTACACAATTATCGTACATGTCGCGAATTTTTTTGAGCTGATCTGCAAACATTCTCACCTATTTGGAAGGCGATAAGATAGCAGTCGAAAATAGAGTTTCCACCTCTTAAGTTTTCATTTCAAAGACTTTGACTTTTTTTTTCAAACTCACCGATTTAGGATAATAAAGTAGCGATTTTGATAGAGTATGATAAGAGCATTTAGACGCCCTTACGCATTTTGGTACAGCACAAAATATCAGAAAAAAAACCGAATGGATGAGCGAACGAACTTACACAAATCTGATAGTAAGTTGTTTGTAGAAGTCTTACATACTCGAGATGATGATTGCTTCATAAATTACAGAAATGCGTGGTTACAACAAGTTTGCACCTAGTCCTCACTACGTCGACAATACTTCAACATGTGTTCAACATTTTACTTGTAAAGCTTATGCATTAGGTAAATACTGTCAAAAGTTTTTAAAAAATTTTGTGTATGGTTTTAAATTGTCTTAAAAAACGCATAACGGTCGTTTGAAATGCGATTTGTTCTTGCTATATAATTTTTCAGCATTTTTTATCTCATCTGATTAGAAAGCTGGCCCGATTAACGATACCTCGGCTTTTCTGGATGATTTTTCGTTACAGATGAAAACGCTGAAAAAAATGGTGTGCCTGTGTCAAGGAACTTTCTTTTCTCTCCTTAAGGGCTTTGCTTCCGCTTGTTTCAATTTACCACTCGAGTATATTGCGTTGGAAACTAAGTTTTGCAGTTCTCCTCATAACTTTACTCTATTTTTGTGTTGCGCGCTCAAATTTTGGCAATGTAGAGTGTACTGCGTTCTACACTCTGCATAAACTTTTGAACGCATTAGATGCGTTTTTCGAAAACAAATGATCTTCGAGAATTTCTGGGGTTGCAAGTAAAATTTGCCGAGTCTTCGCCTGCTTCGCCTGTTGCGGTATATGACTGACAAAAACGAACATCATATTCATTTGTAAAATCAGCGTCTTTTTTGATTAAAATGAAATCGTAAATCTACGGTAATCTTACAAAACAAAGCTTTCTCATGCAATTTCAAGATGTCCCCGTAAATTACCGTGTCGAAGACCCCCTATGTCAAGATTCAGCCAAGTCTGTAAAATCTCATAATTTTTCTCCTTGTATCATGTAACCAACTCTGTTTGCGACGACAGAATTTGGCAGGACAGCTGCTTTTGTGCGTCATAATATACTTAGTGGCAGGATTTGAGTTCGCCCTGTCGAAAAAGAAAGTTATCGAAGTAGTTGCAAAACTTGGTCCAACCTGATATTTACAAAGCACATCTCTAGAATGCTCGCTGACATAAAAACTTCATTGGGCACGATGTGCCCGCATACAACTCCTAACTTCACCATATTCTCTCCTGTATGTTTCTATAACTGGAATCAGTTTTCCGCTTGCATCGTCTTCAATTCTGTGCTTTTATTGGCCGAAAACAACTGAGCATTATTTTAGAATCCGACATGAGGTTGATCACCGTATACTTCATCGCCCTTCTGGTGTGCCTGTGTTACCCACGAATTGTACCTAAACGCTGTAAAGACAAGGTATTTAAAATTATTTAAAATTCAAAATTATTTAGAATTTATTTTCCTCCAATGTCCTCTATAACTGGAGTTTGTTTTCTGCTTGCATCGTCTTCAATCTGTGCCTTTATTGGCCAATCAAAAATTTTTCCAGAATCCGACATGAGGTTCATCAACGTATACTTCTTTGCTCTTCTGGTGCCCTTGTGCTATCCACTTATTCCAATTCAATGCTGTTTAGAAAAGGTATTTCAATGAGCAGCTTGTTGAAAATAGTCTAGTAGTGATATTTTAGGTCTGAATTTGATAACGATTTTTTAGATGTGCTTCGACAAATGCGATGGTGACAAAACTCCAAGACAGTACTTTCTTTGTCTTGCCCTTTGTGGTGGCAAATTCCAGTCAAAATGGGTTAGTATGATGAAGCCAGAGTGGAGCTTTTCCAGCTAGAGCTATCACCGCTTGTTATGCACAGACATCAAAATAAAGAGTGATCAGAAAATGGGCACACAGTGCAGGGCTCGGCATAGGTGGCTTTCGGGGCAGGCTGGATATCGTTTTGAGTGTGAAAGCTATGAGGTTATCATTACACATGGACCGGTGCGGAGCCCAGAAAAAAGAGTATGGTGTAAATAAATCGTCAATCGCTCCGTGCTAGAGTAAATTTCGTATAAAATTAAGTGAGCAAAGAGACGTCGAGGCACAGGCCAACTTCACGCCCATCGACGCAAAAAACTTGTGCAGTCTTCTCCATGTACACAATACTTATCTCATCGTGATGTGATGTATAACTAGCAGCTTTCTTTGCCGGAGGTTCTAAATGAATTTATTCAACTTAACATTTCGACACCAATGCCTTCCTTAAAGGCCTTAGTCACGGCTTTTCTTAGCCTTCTGGCAAAGAAAGCTATTAGTAATACATCACAGCGCAAAGATTTTACGAACAGAGAGAACGCACAAGATACTTCTCGCATCGCTTGTGTTCACGCTATTCACGCCTACATACATACTTACAAACGCCATCCTCCGCAACCCCTTAACCCTGTCATTCCATTTCCTCATCTTCTGAAGACGTCGCAAGTGCTCATCAGAAAGTGCCTTCTTTGTAAATCAACAATTTCCCGCACTAGCGCTTTCCGAGTGAGCGCGGAAATGCAAATTTGTGCTCGAAGCAAAAAGCTTAGCGAAAATGAAGTAATATAACACCTGACGATATTACTATTATATTAACATCTCACAGGAGCAGTTATTATTATAGGTTCTTTCACTAGCTCTTTCACTGTGCAAGATTTGCGGGATTGACGTTTCTATGAAAAGTTATGATCTTCGAGCGAGCAATACAAAAGGGCGAATTTGATTCATTTTGGCATGGTTCAAGAAAATCACAACTTTTCATAGACAAGTTCAATCAGCGTAATTTTACACAGTTAGAAAGAGCTAATGAAACAACCCACAGAAGTGATTGCTCTGATTTTCACAGCAGGTTTCAGATTTTTATGGCCCTACACAAAATTCAAGATTCAGGTAATTTTCTTCTACCGCCTATATCTACGCAGTATACGCCCAATAGAATGCGGCTAAGACACCGCTATAAAGAAAATGCGTTGCTCTCTCAGATAAAAATGAAGACATACAAATCGGTTGAAAAAAGCAAAGTTATGAATTTTTGAAAATGGTGCAAACGAACTTTTGGTCCAACCTAATATTTTGAACAAATTTTGAAATGTGAGGACCTCTATGCGCTGTTGGTTGGGTAATTAACTTATGCCTAAACTGTCTTCCATATCTGCAGAGCGCCTTTGTAGTTATAAGACATTAAACGTCACTATTTTGCTAAGAAGTTGTGGGTATGAAGGGCAAACTTGACCCTACAAAGCCATTTTCGGCTCAGCGCTGGACCAAAACATGCAGGTGGGTCACTTCATATGACCCTATACCTAGAAGTGAGCGCAAAAGCAATAATGTGCTTAATTTTCGTAGTTTTTGTGTACCATTTTTACTCGGCAAAGCTGCAAGCTTTGCTTACAAAGGCGCTCTGCGGATATGGAAGACGGATTTGAAATCAGCATTCTATGCTGCATCGAATGGTATGCAGCTTGTATAGATTGACCACTTCGACTTCTGACCATTCCCTTGTAAGGAGCAATTGGCTGCATGAGACAATCAGCCAGTTGCTGATGCATCGATGGTCTCCATTCATAAGACTTCTGCACCAAGTCGCGTCCAAACGTTGCAAAACTCCGTTCGAGCCCTTTGGCAGTCTCTACAGGCAAAAAATCGTTTATGCTCAAAGATTTTGAAGCAATTTTTGGAGAGCACATTTGAATGATCCCAAAATAATCGATAACCTCGCTAAGTAAGTCTGTTAGTATGCCAGTAACATTGGGTAATACTACCGCTCATTATACAGGGTGTCCCAAAAGTAAGTACACACTTTTCAATCCTCAATATCTCTCTTCCCATTGCGCCTTTTTCCACCATTTAAGCATCATTCTATAGAGGAGACCTCAGCTTAGATATGCGGTATCAAGCGAATCATCGGTCGCTCTTCATTACTGTAAGATTACTGTAGGAACTTCGACAAGGATTTCAGACCACTGGAAGCCATATTTTGCCTCGGAACAAAACCAAACAAGCTTCAAACTCTTATACTATGGTAATGGAAGCCGATGATTTCAAATGTAAGATTTCTACTTTACTGTGATGCTTCTTTCCAAAGTTATCCAGGTAAACCATAATAACCGAATTCCCAGTATTTGTCAGAAATGTGAATACACCGCCAAAAAAAGTGAAAGCACTTGTAAAAAGTTGTGTAGTGGCGTCAGAGTGCGCAAAACCCTAGTACGCAATTTTTCAGATTTTTTGAAAAAAAAATTTACAAATGTCATATTTCACCATGGTTCCACATGCTGGAAGTTCTTACCATAATCCTACAGTAAGGAAGAGCGATCGGTGATTCGATCGACATTGCAGATCTAAGTTGAAGCCTCCTCTACAGAATGGTACTTGACTGGCAGAAAAAGACCCACTGAAAATAGAGATATTGACGATTGAAAAGTGTGTACTTACTTTTGGGACACCCTGTATATGCACATCTGGGCTGTTCGAGGGGGCCCATAAGCCCGAGAATGGAATGGGTTTTGTTGAAATTTATCGGGAAATGGGAAACTTAATGGAAATTTTTTTTAAATTTATTTACATTGGTTATAAGAAAATACGAGTGACTTGTTTACTCTTGAAAATTTGAAGAATCTCTAAATTTTTTTGAAAAATTTCGAATTAGCTTTGTAAAGATTTTTTTTTGGGGAGGGGCATGGACGCCGCCACCTCTATTTCTAGAATTTTGAGGTTTATCTCTACATAAAAGCAGAAAATTTGTATGTTTGTGCACATTTCCAATAGTCATAAAGGAGATCGATGGATAGAAAGCGAGCTCAAGCCGAGCCTGAATTAAAAGAAGAGTTCGCTACCTGAGAAGTCAAGCACAATGGACTGGCTCCAAACCGGAGTGGAACCCGGGATGCCAGCTCGTATTTATTTATATATTCAGTATTCAGATGCCTCTGAATAGTTGATTGCGTCAGGTATTTATCAGTGAACTACATGGGACTTTGAAATTGGTTCAAATGTTATAGTTCAAACCTAAAGAAAAAATCGAAAATTAGTTAACGATTTGAGGCACGGAAGAGGGCTTGGATGGTTTGGCAGCCGAAGAAATGAGAAAGTTTCGCAGCATCATACCGAAATCACTGGGCCAAGATTAATGGAAGACCTCTGTTCAAGTCACAAAATCTCAAATCGTAAGGCAAAGGAGAATGAAAGCTCGGGGCGATCGGGTGGTGAGCAAGAAAGGAAGGTTTTCATAATTCCATATAAAATAGGGAAAATTTTCTCAGCTGCATGAACTATTCTACAGCTAAAAAAACTCGTAAGAAAAGGTGGTCGGGTTTCTGAACGCTTCGACGAATCTTATATATAAAGCTGAATGTCTGTTTGTCTGTCTGTATGTCTGTCTGTATGTCTGTATGTGTGGACATATGTTCCGAATAGAAAATTCCATTTCTGAACCGATCGGGACCAAACTTGGCACACATACGCTACGGGCCCCGGCGGGTGTCATAGGCTACTTTTCGTCATCGATCGATATCGATTTTATCGATTTTTTGCAAAATTTGAGCTACGGGGCTGGGAGTTGGCACAGGGGGTAATCGAGCATGCTGATCACCCCCGTGGGGGTGATCAGCATGCTCGATTACACCCCTCTGCCAAATTCCAGCTCCCTAGCTCAAATTTTGCAAAAAATCGATAACATCGACATCGATCGATAACAAAAAGTGGACTGTGACACCCGCCGGGGCCCGAAGTGTATGTGTGCCAAGTTTGGTCCGGATCGGTTAAGAAATGGAATTTTCTATTCGGAACATACGGCGGAGCCGGATAAGCCAGCTAAGTGAACTATGAAAAGAAATATTGCGTGCAGAACTTTCAAAGTATAAAAATATGACAGCGATTTCTGCTGGCGAAAACGTGTTATGTTGGAAGGGAACATACTGAAAGGTTGGGGGGAGAGAAGTTGTACTCTGGTCATGAGGAACGGATAAAGATTTTTTAACAAGACCTTGCAGTAAGTAAGGCAAATTTGTAAGCCGGAAATGTAAGCAATTTGGAAGAAATTGAAAAAAAACGCATTTCTTTCGAATTTTGATTCCCTTTGCCCCTATTATTTGAGATAATTTTAACTTCTAACAAATCAAATTAGCTTCGTTGTAAAATGCAGTTTATTAGAAGTTGAAATTTTTCAATTATGTACAAGAAAAAGCAGTCCTCTACGCAATGTTACGACTAATTAAGTAAGTTTCTAGAGATTCTTTGGAGTTAGCCCCTTAAAACCGTCAAACCTTCCCCCCCCCCCCTCCTCCCTCCCCACAATCCGGTATGGCATCACATGTATAGAGCAATATCCGAGCGATGGCGGAAAACTTGGAAGTCTTATAAATAATGAGAGAAATTGGTGGGTTCCCGATGTAGAGGAAGGAATCTCTAATAAACACTTTACAGGATTAGGGTGAGCTTCAGCTAGTGGCGAAAAAAGAATGAAGTATAAAAGGAAGTATAAAAAATTGGGAGGAAAAGAACATGACTTAAAGGCAGTGTCCCGGCAGATTCGGGTCCTGGGGGATATTATACGTGTGGTGGGGTTCCTGGTCACCCCATCGACCTCCAGGCGCACTCCGGCCGGGTGACGTTCCCCCTGGCCGAGAAAATGGCCCTTGAAGCGGCGCGCGCAACCCCAACTGGCGGGCGTTTGGACGGCCTTCCCCACCTGTTCGGCGCGGGATCCCACGAGCGCTCTCCCCCATGATGCATGCTATCCAAAGCAAGAATTACAGGTGGCAGGATCTTCGTCTGAGGCCGCCCCCAACTTTCCATTAAAAATCTCGTCCAAGCTGCTTTTCTGGAATTAGAAAAACGCCCCAAAATCGGCCTTTTCAGCCCGTTTAAAGCTCAAATTCGGATTCTACGTGGCGAAAAGGCCTAAAACATGCAAAAAGTGGAGATGCAAAATCTGCCGGGACACTGCCTTTGAGAAAAATACTTTTGAGGACTGTTCGATTAATTGAAATAAGGTACATTTACCATCTTACGATGATAAAGCAACGCTCTGACTAACAAAAGAAAGACAGCTCCTTGCGTAAATGAATTTCATAATATAAGGGCAATCTTTCGAGGATCGGTAATGCAAAAGGTTTTTAGCTAAAAGTCTTGGATATGTAAGAGCTCAAAAATCAACACTTCTAGGATAGTCTAAATGACTAAAGTCTCGATAAGCTAGAAGGAAAGGAGTACTCCTGCTCGTACATTTGTGGAGTATGATAAATTTGAAAACAGAGATTATTGTTAAAGGGAGGTAGAAGTAGAAGATCTGGACTCTGGCTATTAAGTTGGGAAGGAGTGGGTTCTTTGCAGACTATACACCGTGCATATAACTTGTCAAAAAATTGATGAACTTCGCAGAATTCATCGTATTTTTTATCAGTATACTTAAAGGCACCGTCCACCCAAAATTTCGACCTCCATGTTTTTGCCGTTCCAGGGCCTTCTCATACCCCTGATTTCGAATATCAAGTTGAAAATCCGCGAAAACCACGAAAAACCCCCGTTTTCAGAACCCGCAGAGCGATTTCTTCGGTATGTGATTGGATGGACGCGCACGGATGGGCGGGACGAACGTCACGCCCACTCCGAAAGGGGAGGAGCCAGCGTCGCGAACGCGGCCTGAAGCAATTTCCGAAGCAATTTTCTCAGTTCGGAAGCAACTTCAGGCGGCGCGAGTTGGGCAATCACACAGTTAGAGGCCCCGAATCTACTAGGTATCATAATCTCACCAACCTCAATTTGGGTGGACGGCGCCTTTAAGGGCACCGTTTGACTCAACATCAGCTCGGTAAGGCGCATTTTCTTCTATGTAGAAACCCTTCTGGACTTAGTGGGTAAAAGTTCACGATTCGCTTTTTTCTTACTAGGTAGGTTGGTTCCTCATGCGCTCAAATCAATATCGCGCGAGGACCCACGTGAAAGTGATGGGTTGCGTCTGAATCCTGCCTAATACGATCCTGGGTCCAGTTTGGGGGCGTACATATATCTCAGCCGTTAGTGAGCCATTTGCGCTGCCGCTTGGGCAGTGACTTAGTTAGGATCCCAAAATTACCGTCCATGTGAGATCCCCATACGCCCAGATTTGCCTGAACGCTGCCTTTAACACTGCGCTAGGCCTCTAACTTGACTTTAGCTGGGCGGCGAGTTTCCATGACGCGCAGCGGCGCCAGGGCGGAATCGAGGGCCATAATTTCGTGTGGGAGACCGACAAGTGCCGAAGGCGGATATGTAATCAGACCTCCATGGAGTGTTCAACGGTAGGTTTCCTGGAAATGGCCACCTCAATCCTGACCATTTCCTTGTAAATCGAGAGGAAGTGCTTCTAGGTGCGGGTACGGCTGTGACGAGATCTGGGTGCAAGAGCACCCAATTAGGTTTGGCAGCTCGGTAGTCCAGTAATGTTTTTTTTTGTTGTAGTCCAGTAATCTCAGCAGTCCAGTAATGTTTGCAGTTTCTTCTAAAATCCACTCTAAATCCACTCTAGAAGAAATTATAGCATTCTGACCGTTTTTGTTACCATAAATATGCAGTGACGGAAAAAAAGATATCGCGATTCGTTTTTTTTGCGGGAGTTAAGAGCGCAATTGTATATTGGCCTTCTGATCCAGTGACCCGACACCTTACTCAAAATTAACAAAAAAAAGCTTCTTCTTCCCGTTTATAAACCAAACATCTAAAATTCATCCCTTGCAACTTCGCTTTATTCTGAATCTCTATTTACAGTCTCTGCTCACAAGATCTGCAAGAAGTTCTTGTCTCCCTTGTTTATTAACCGCATTGAAGCCATTTGGCCACAAATGCATAACTTCAAAAATTACGGGTCTTTAGAATCCGCACCTTTGTCCGTGAGGTAACTCGCTCTTCAGGGGTTAAACAGCTTGCATAATAAATGATACCTGAATTCGGAAAAAAATTCTAAATAATCAATAGGTGCTTGTGCGAAGCGTTTTTGGAATTTTCGAAGCATCTTCTATGCCAGAAACTTGCCAGAAATCTGAAAATTTATTTCTGAATCCATGAAACTTATGTTCAAGGAACTTAGCGCGTGAGACGGTTTTGAGAAATACATCGCGGCAGCTAAAATATAAGCAGTTTCGAGAATTCAACATGCTGCATAAATCGGCAGATTCTCAGCACATATGATGTTTTCAGTTTTTCTGAAATCTACTCTAGAAGAAGTTATAACAATCCGACGGTCCACGATAATTACGCAGCGACCGAAAAATTCACAGCGATAGCGTTTTTTCAAGAGTTAGGAGCGCAATTGTACTCCAACTATAAAATGGAAAGGAGGGAGAAAAGGGAGGAAGGAAGATGGCATGCGTTTAACATAACTTGATGCTTTGGTAAATCTTCTTGAAATGTGCGAAGAACTTCTTATGCACAAGGAATTCATTGTGAGTAAGGCAAATTTTTGCATTGCTGAATTTGATAGGAGTGTCTTGTGAGCACTGGAGATTGAGGGACATAGTGTAGCAGATGTTTCATTCTAGCCAACAAATCTGATGTTGAGTAAAGCAAAATTTCGCGGTGATAAAGTTGACTGATATTGTAGCCAAGATCTTGAAGGCGTGATTCTAGACGCTAATCAAAAGGCTTAGCTAAAAAAGAGCATAAAAGTGTCTGGAAAGAGGGCGGAGGTTTGGTACAAATCACTGATGTCGGGATAAAATGTCAGTAACACCAGGGCAGCCGCTGATGCCGCAAAGGTATTTTTACAGGATTGGAAAAAGTCATATGTTTGAGAAGAAGGGTGCTGAGTAAGCTGAGTTTTTTGGGAGAGAAATTACGCTTTATATATAAATTTTATTTCAAGAATGCATTGTTTCACTTATATTTTTAATTGCTTGAAAGTATGTGTCAGTGCTATTTTCCGAAGCAATTAGAAAACCCTAATTTTTTTTGCACAAATGTAATTATACCTGAAAGCTAGGCAAGTTGAACATATGAGGTTCGCACGTTTTGATAGGTGCGCTGCGGCTAAAAAATTGACCACGACTTCCATGACGGCTCTTTACTCCGGGAGCAAAGGAATTTTCTGTGGCGTAAATTCTGTCAAAATCGAGGTTTTCACCGTTTTTCGTGGGAATTGTGAGGGAAAACAAAACTCTGTGGTTTCGCGTTTTGAGCTCCACAGAATCTCTATGTGGCTGATCAATTTTTGCAGTGAAAAGTTTTGTTTGCCCCCACAATTCCCAAGAAAAACGGTGAAATCTCGATTTTGACAGAACTTAGGGCACATTGCCCACGGCCTCCAACCTCCTCAGCTTTGCTTTTGAACTCTGGAACTTTTCTCCTATTTTATGATTTCAAACGGCCTTTCATATTTGCTTTGAAATCCTTTATATTGCCCTTGCTCCCGGAGTGAAGACCCAGCATGCATCTGCTTTGATCAGCCTTGTTAGGAAAGCGATTGTGTTGATTTTAACTAAGCAAGGGAAGAAGCAAGCTGTATGAAATAACTGAATTCCGGTGGTGGTATTTGGAAGGAAAAATCAGATATTTTCTTGTGTCTACCTGCGAAGTTTGATTTTTCATTTATTTAGCTTCTCTAGAGTGAAGATGTGAACACTGTTTATAGTTACTTGCAGTCCCAACTAAACAAATACTAATGTACCCACCCCGACTTACGTACAGCGGCCCTTAGGGCCGCTAGTTCAAATATTAGCTTGAAAATCGAGAGCTAGAGCTAGAAGTAGATGTTATGCCTTAGGTAAACACTGTCAAAACTCTCAAAAAATCCTGTGTGTGGTTTTACCGTTCTTAAGAAACGCATAACGGCCGTTTGAAATGCGATTTGTTCTCGCTATATAATTTTTGCAGCATTTTTATTCCACCTGATTTGAATGTTAGCCGCTTCACGATAATTCGACATTTCTTGATGATTTTTCGTTACAGCTGAATGCGCCGAAAACAAATATAAGCGTGCTTGTGTGAAGCAACTTCATTCTTTTTTCTCCATGACGACTTTGCTTCCTCTTGTTTAAATCTACCACTCTAATACAATTACAGGGCACAAATTTCTCTAGAACACTCGCTGGCATAAAAACTTCATTGGGCAAATTGTGCCCGCGTTAAACAACTCCTTAACTTCACCATACTCCTCCTGTCTCTTGCATCCTCCTCTAGTGTTCTTTACAACTGGAATTTGTTTTTCGCTTACATCCTTTCCAATCTATGCTCTTATTGGCCCAAAACAATGAAGCATTCTTTTAGAATCCGGCATGTGGTTCGCCCACGTATACTTCTTTGCCCTTGGGGTGTGTCTGTGTTACTGTGCATTTACTCCGACTCCATGCTGTAATTTGGCTATCAACACGGTATGATGAGCAGCTTGGTGAATATAGTCTTAATAAAAAGATTTTAAGTCAGAATTTTGATAATAATATTTTAGATGTGCACGAAGACATGCATAGAAAAAAAAGGCGGCCCAGACATCAAAACATGTTTCTACAAGTGCAGGAGCGTTGTAATGAAAAGACTGAACGTGATATCGACATATCTTCCATAACTTCCAATAGACCTATCACCGCTTGTATGCACAGGCCTCAAAATAAAGAGTGATCAGAAAATGGGCACACAGGGCAGGGCTCGGCATAGGTGGCTTACGGAGCCGGATATCGTTTTGAGTGTGAGAGCTACGAGGTCATCGTTTTTGCGTGGTCCGGTGCTGAGCCCAAAAAAACGTATGGTGTGAATAAATCGTCAATCGCTCCATGCAGAAACAGGAATTTAGGAGTGTTGAAAAAATTTTTAAAGAACCTTATGAGCAAGGAAATCTAGAGTAAATTTCATACCAAATTAATTGAGTAAAGAGAATTCGAGGCACCGGCCAACTTCACGCCCGTCGACGCGACAAATTTATGCAGTCCTTTCTCTTGTGAACAAAACTTTTATCACCGTGATGTATAGACAGTAGTCTGCCAACAGGTTTAATATAAATGTTTTATTCGGCCCAATGTTTCGGCACTAATGCCTTCCTCAGAGGCCTTAGTAACGGCCTTTCCTACTAGTGATACATCACAATGCAAATATTTTACGAACAGAGAGAACGTACGAGATACTTATCGCATCGCTTTTGTTCACGCTATTTACGCCTACATACATATCATTCATTCTAGGACTAGGAGACGCAAGACCGCTTTGCGCACATTGTTTAAACAAGCTTAATCGTGTACTTAGCAGGTTTATACCTGTCATTTATCTCGTCCACGTTCATGCACTCTTCGGAAACAAGGAAGAACAAACTTAAACATGTTAAGAACAATGTCCGCAATGCGGTCACGCGTCTCTTAGTCGTAGAATAGATGATACTTACAACGGTCATTCTTCGCAACCCCTAACCGTGTCATTCTGTCTCTTCATCTTCTAAGGACGTTGAAAGTGCTCATCACAAAGTGCCTGCTCTGCAAATCCAACAATTTCCCGCACTTCATTAGCACTTTAATTGCGAACGCGGAAATGCAAACTTGTGCCGCGAAGCAAAAGGCTTAAATTGATACAACACAAAATTAATGTCTAGATGCGTAGTTAGTTTGAAAACATCGAAAAGCATGCGAAAGATATGTGAATAGAAAGCATGACAAACGTTTTTTGGTGTGTTAGTTGGCTTGCAGGCCACCTGGAGAGCCACTTAAGGTGGTTCAGAGAGAACTCCATGAATTTCCTTTTTTTATATGATTTTTTCACAGCTTCTACATGGTTTCGGTCTACATTCGAAAACTTACTAACTATTCTTGAGCCTCTCCAACATCCCTCACTTTTCTGCTCTGTGCTGTTCCGAGTATTTTTTGTCCATATCGTTTAATATTCTCTTCAGATTCAGATTCGAATGAACGAATTTCAATTGTATTCGAACTTTGATGGTCGAATATCGATTGAATGTTCGAATGTTTTATACGAATGGCTAGGCATTCGGATAAATCATCCGAATTTAAAAGCACTGGAATGCTCGAAGTTTGCGAAAAATCGATTTATCGATACCTACGCAAGTTTCGTAATTAAACTTCTTATGACCAATGAGCAACATTCGTGACAGTAGACTTCAAGATCAGACATCTAACTTAACCTTCGAGATATTCTGCGACTTATACTTAGAAACTACTGCCGCACGAAGGTACATCACCATCTTCATTCAAGCGGTCGCCAGCGTTTGCAAGCTCTACATCTTCGTAATTACTGCGCGTTATGCATCGTACGTGTTAGAACTGTCTATGGCGCTTGATCCTGCGCCTTTGTTCAACAGTAGATCTTACTTGTCAGGCTTCCACTATATTTCAAAAACGGTTTAGTGGAGCTACAACAAAAAAATGGCTGAAGTTGAAAATTAAAATGGGAAACCTTACATTTCGCTGTAAGCATCCAATCATCACAGCCGAAAGAGCCGTTTGAAAACGTAGCGCTGAATGTGCGATCATCCTCCTAAAGCAGTAGCCGTGGTCACTTATGGGTACTAGGTAATATGCACAAATGCTATGATACTTGCCTGCTTATTAGGGACTTTCGTCTTGTGTAATATAACCTAGAAGACGAAGACCTGTGTGGTTCATTGCGCGAGTTCTATAGCTTCGAGCATACTTGAGGCGATTTTAGTAGTGACGTGGCTTGGCAGTAGTCAAATTGTTTATAATCTATCGTAGGCGCATTCTAAAAGTTAGAATGCGCTACGATAGATTATAAACAATTTGACTACTGCCAAGCCACGTCACTACTAAAATCGCCTCAAGTATGCTCGAAGCTATAGAACTCGCGCAATGAACCACAAGGTCTTCGTCTTCCTAGGTACATCTTATTCACAAGACGAAGAGTCAAAAACTTGCAGGAAGTCCCATAATGAAATTGTGTATTACTAGTACCTAAGTGCCCGGCTAGAGAAGACGCACAAGATTCCGTACTCGCTCCGAATATACATTTTAGATTAGACATTCATATATGCCGTTGCTGTGTTTGTTTTTGTACTAGAAACCGAGACTAAAATTTTAAGCTTCCACAAAAGCAATGCTGCGCCCGGTGCAGAAGTTCTTCCCGTTTTTGGACCTACGCTTAAACCCCGTAAAGTAAAGCTCAATGATTACTGTAAGCTGCATGCTACGCAAAATTTCTTCCTTTTTCCAGCAGCTATGATTGCGATTCCCTTGACGTGCGCTAAGATAATTACCGAAAACTAAAACTTTCATTTTTCCCACGTGTGATTCGCTAATCAAAATTTTAACTTTGTACCTTAACCACCTGATGGGCAGACAGGCAGTAGTTTACACAGAAAGCTTACGAATTGCTAGAACATGTTCTAACTTTGAGGATTTTTCTAATAGAGTTCAAAGTCTCTATCACACACTTTTAGATAATGGGTATGATAAATCATTCATAGTCTCATGCATTTTTAAAATGTTAAGCAAAAATAGATTTGTTTTTTATAAGTACAATTTGATAGCTAACGATAAAAATGTATTCGACAAAGTTAAATCACTCTTGATATGAATATTCCATTTCACACACACACACACACACACACACACACACACACACACACACACACACACACACACACACACACACACACACACACACACACACACACACACACACACACACACACACACACACACACACACACACACACACACACACACACACACACACACACACACACACACACACACACACACACACACACACACACACACACACACACACACACACACACACACACACACACACACACACACACACACACACACACACACACACACACACACACACACACACACACACACACACACACACACACACACACACACACACACACACACACACACACACACACACACACACACACACACACACACACACACACACACACACACACACACACACACACACACACACACACACACACACACACATGCTCCTCTAAGTTAATGCTATTTAGTTACCAGACAATATGATTATACTCATGCTCTATTGCAAATATAATTTTAAATTTAGCGCTCAGCCTTTTTTTGACTGAGTATTATATTTGCTAATTGATTGACAACGACTGCATTTAATTATACAGCCCTCTTCCTATTCAAACATACGCGCTACTCCCAAGGACAAGGATACAAGGACTCCACACAGGTAAGTTATTTTATTTTATTATTTAAATTATACAGACAGCCCTCCTTCCTTACTGAGGAGTTCCGGGGAGGGCTATAAAACATTCTTTATCTCCGTCTAAGGGTAGGAACGAAACGGAGCTTTGTTTTTATTTTTTAATTTGTAATACTCACAATTGCATTTCCTTGTCCATCACCTTTTAGTTTTTTATTTATGGCAATCTTTCACTTTTCCTGCTTCCTTTTTAGAATTTTGCTGGATTATTTTGGAATAGTCTTGAGTTTTGAAGAAGTCGCACATCACATAATGGCACCAAACACCGCAAAATCTTCAGAATATTGGAGTTTGAAAACTCGGTTATTACTTTTTCTAGTTTTGAAATGTACATTCTACCTGAGCGATCTATGCTCCAAATACGTTGATATTGAAAATTTGGTTACAATATTGCGCACACGTAAAACTAATGTAAGAAATGCTTTGCAAAAGTAGATGTTTTGCAAAGAAAAAGTAGCTGTTACAAAGAAGAGAAAGAGTTGTATCGAATAGGATCTAAACTAATCACTGCCCATGATTTAACCAGGTCAAAAAAGTCCAATATGAAATTTGCTCATTCAAAGAAATATTAGGTTGTTCCGAAAGTTTTGTCCTTTTTTCAACCTATCATAAAAATATGTGGAACAAAGATAGGGAAACGTTCTAAGCACTACCCGACGCATCTTTTCCTCCTCTTTTTAACTGTCATGCTATCATGCCGATTATTATTTTGCTCACTGAGATAAACGCCGAAACGAACCCATGGCTTTTACTATGTCCAAGTTTGGCAATTTTTCACAATTGTCGCGTCTCGCGATGCAAGGCGCTCCTCGAAGTACGGAGGCCGGGGGCATTGGTTACCGCGCTATCCGGCGACGATTACGGTAGCCGAGACGCGTGTTGCCGCGATTGTCTCCGGACCTCTCCTTAGTTGGCTCGTTGCCAGCCAGGCGGCTATATAAAGCGGCGGCGCCTCACTTGGTTGCCTCGTCCGTCTTCGTTCTTATTGATTGATTTGGATATCTTGTTCGAATTACGTTTCAGCCGCCATGCTCCTGTCCTTTTTCGTAAGAGCAGTTGAGCCGGAAGTTCTTTGGATTGGAAAATGGATTCCTTTTTGATAGCGCAAGTCAACGCGCCTAGTACTAACCGGAAATCATCTACAGGAGCTAGAGGGAAGTGCCGTCGTCTACACCTTGGCGTTGCGCGGTGGATTTGTTGCGCGAAACCTCGGGAGCCACTTTATTCTAGATTACTTTCCCAGACGCGCATCGGTAGCATGGGACGGGCCCTCGTCCCGTGTTTCTTTTGTAGTAGTGTAGTAATTTATTTTTTAATTTAGTATTTTTGTCTATTTTCAATTGTAGTGTAGTGCCATAAGGATAAATCACTTAAATTATTTCATGTTCCTTCGTCGCGCGTTAGGTGC